TGTATGAAGTAGCCAATGAAGGATGATTTGAAGGAAGAGTTTTTTGATAGATTTCAAGTGCTTTTTTGTGAGATGAAAGTGCTTTCGAGTACTCTCCCATTTGTCTATACGTCTCACCAATGTTGTTGTATGAAGTAGCCAAGTCAGGATGATTTGAAGGAAGAGTTTTTTGTCGAACTTCAAGTGCTTTTTCGTAATATGAAAGTGCTTTCGAGTACTCTCCCATGCTGTCATACACACTACCGATGTTGTTGTATAAAGTAGCCAATGAAGGATGATTTGAACGAAGAGTTTTTTCTTGAATTTCAAGTGCCTGTTCATAATACCAAATAGCTTTCTTATAATCACCCTGATCATTTTTGACATATCCCAAACTGCCATAATAATGCGCTTTTTCACCCTCATCAGATGTCTGTTCGAGTAACACATTATAAAGTTCTTCAGCTTTATTAAATTGACCAATTGCAAGCAATAGTTTACCTAATCTTTGCCATCCAGTGCCACCATCAGCTTCTTTTCGTATTTGATCAGTAAGCACTCGTAGTTGTTGATCATCATCCGATGTTAACTGTAATGCTACTTCATAAAGTTGATTCTTATTGCCCATTTGTTTGATTGCATTCACTCGAAATACGGTGTGCATTGAGAAGAGAATTTCTTCTTCTTGTGCCTTGAAATAACTAAGTTCAGTAATACAGGCAAATGGTGTTGATTTGATAGAAGGATCAATGGACATTATAAAGAGAATGCCCATCTTATTTGGTTCTGTTGAAGCACGTCTAGCAAATTCGAGAGACACTTGATCATTTTTACTGGTGGACAAAAAATTGTTAAATGACATAAGTCCACCTTTTGCTTTCTGAAGTTTTTCAAAGTCTGATATCATAAGACCTTGTCCTCGATAAACTACAAAAGGTTTTCTTCCATAACTACTCACCTGCTGTTCATGTAGCTGTTGAATTTGTTGATGTACATCACGTAAGAAGAACCCCATATTAATGATTATATCAGCATCCATCATTCGAAGTGCTTGATTGAGCATTTTGTAGGTAAAACACTCACGTGTATACCACCATATAGCTTTTTGTGGACGATAATCACGTTCGAATTCATTAATTACTTGTAATTCAGTTGGATTGCCAGTAAAAACTTCACGGCAACAAGCTGCTAAGTCCTGGATTGCCTTATTACCGTACTCGATATCAAGGAGAATCTCCTTGAACAGTTGGGTGTACATAAAAGTGGGCTCCAACTGATTTAAACTACTAGTTGAAGACATGTCATTTACCGCGAGAAAACTTACGGCAATTGTGTCTTGGTCACATTGTTTAACCGTTAATTGTAATGCTTGGCAAATATCTTTGATATTTGTATGGACACCTTTGATTTTTGTCCATTTTTGTACCCATCCTTCGTGTCTGGATTTGTTGCTACAAAAGATGTAAATGGTATCTAACGATGGCATGCTATGAATTTCAGGAACCAAATGTTGACCTAATGAGCCTGATGTTATAACAAAGGCTCGTTCTTTGTCAATCTTCTTGAGTGCTTGAATGCATTGATTCGGTTCCGTACATAAGCTGACATCATTAACCACGTTCTTCAAATGAGCCAGTGTATTTTGGCAGTCCTTGTCTGCTTGGTCGATGCTGGCATCTACCCAGATGAGAAGGTAATTTGTAGCCCTACGTTGTCGTGATTGACGAACAAAAGACGTTGCTGCTTCATGGGACGATTTTACGCTTGGTTTTGAAGGTTTCGGATCCATGATACGTATATGGTGAGAACTGTATGTAGTTGCAGAATTAAAGTATTAATGGTTAAGAAAATAAACGAATATCGTTATTTATATGAGAATCAGACCTGTTTATCTCAATATTTTTATGGCGTCACTGGTTATCTTCTTTTATTTGTTTTCAGTAGTTACAACAGAACGTTGTCCTTTGCATCATTTCATGTACGTTATAAAGCCAGATAAGTATAAAGAACAGAAAAAGAAAAATTATTTTTTCCAACTTTCTTCACAGATAAGAGATAACATCGTCACTAACAAAAAAAATATTTGCTTTGTAAGTAATGCACATTAAAAACCTGAAGCAATGGTTCTATTCTGAAGTTCTAGAATTCCTGACGGTGGGTGTGGGTGCGGATCCACTTTTTCTTTACCCACACCCTTGTGCTTTGATCCTTATAATAACTGTAGTAACCTCAAAGCTACATTGTACATTTTCTGTTTCTTCATACTACATTTCGTATATTCTGAAATTTTATGTGTAGTCTGACACCATCTGCTCTAAAACTCTGCTAATTCTTATTTTCTAGAATTTCAATTACTCGAAAATTTCATGTGTATTGATACCAAATCATTTCATATATATTTATTGCATAATTCTAGAAGTCTAAAATTCCATCTATATGAACATAAAATCATTTCATATTTGATTTTTACTAAAATTCTAGAATCCAGCTCACTGCGTACCTCGTTATATGAAAATATTGTTAAGAAAGTATAGACAATATTTGTGTTATTTGTATATGTATATGGACAAGACTACAGGTAAAATTCTATCAGAGTTCTAGAATATTAGAAGAGGATCACATCCGATATTAAACTCATTGTTTGTTAAATTAACAATTTATTCAATATTAAAATTATAATACTAACTAGTAGAAGTATCTCGCCGTTGTCAGGAAAATCCAGGTGATGAATGCCGGTAAGATATATTAATGATATCAACATTGCCAAAACCTTTGGTGTGGGTGTGGATGGACGTGGATATTATTTCTATCTCACATCTACATTCACATTCACCCTCACACCCATACCCACAACCAGACCCTCACGCACACCCTCAAGAACTTGATTCGTTTCTTAACAAATTTGTCATCGTACGTGCTATTATAATTATGCAAATCATATTTTTTTTTATTCTGTTTCATTTTCAAGAATCTTTTGAAATGAATAAGTAGTGTAGATGTTGATTGAAAGTAGTTATCTATAAGTGATTCTCAATACATTAGCAGATGAAAATAATACAAACAATACAATTTCCAAGTAATCGACAGAGTAATAAAAAATAATATTAATATACAATTACTTATAATTATGTGAGATATTTATTTACCATTAACAATCGATTCCATGAAAATAAATCAGAAATATCTATCGTAGTGATATTCAACAATCCTTTCAGTTTAATAATTATGTCTAATCGATGAGATTTCATTTTTTTCGAAACATAAAATTTGCAGGTTGTTAAATTTTATAATACTCTTTATAGAAGTTGCTTCACTATCATTCACACTGATGATGCACTGATACAACGACCTCTGAAAAAAAGGATAGCTTTTTCATAAGCTATTCTTTTTTAATTACTGGAATATTATCATCTGCCGACTGAGCTTTCAGAGTTATCTAACAACGTATATTGCAATCTTTCCCCGAAAGAATAAAAACGAAATACACATCCAAGTATCATACATCTTATCTTCAATAACAAGTATCGTGTCCCTCCGCGAAAAAGAAAAGATATTAAAATAACGTCGGTTGTTGTTAGTCAAATGTAGACTTTCTTTTTCGTCCTTTTATTTGATATTGATAAAAGTACGTTTGTTTTAAATTTCCAACATGATGTTATAGAACTAACTATTACATGATCTATCAACTCAAATAACTTTTCAATATAAATTTGCATAGATTATTTACATCATACATACATAGACTAACAATGACAATCCTAATCTCGATACCAACAATTGTAAACGAGAGAAAACTTGTTAGATGAGCATCGAGAGTTTGTTTTGAAGAATCCAGTGCGTATCTAACATTTTAACCAGATGAATTCAATCAACTTCAAATATCCAGAATAGCAGTTTGTAGATGAGTAGATTTCGAGTCATAACTCAACATTATCTAGTATGATACATAGTTTACTGATATCATCCAGAATTCTTCAATATTCTACAGAATTCTTATTATGAATCTTTCAACAGAAGAGAACAAATAAGTATATGCAAAGTTCACACTTCATTATTAAAATCCAAATTGAAATACTGAGATATGAGATATCGAAAACAAAAATCATTCATTTTAGGATCATTTTCTTTAAGCAAAATCTGAATTAAAAAAGAACAAAACCGAACAAGATACAATGTAATTTTTATCTCTACCACATCATATTGAATTATTCTAAAGTTTAAAAATTTATGATAAAGTACATTGAGTTTCGAACATTTTACTCGAATATGTTTATAAATGTGTGTTGAAAGTGAAATTTTGTAAAATAAAACTATATTATTACAATTATAGGATTTTCTTTTTATTATGTACATTTCATCATAGTATATTCAATATTGATAACAATCAATTATTGCTGCTAATGAAAAATTCAATCCTGAATTAGCAAGAGACTCTATGGCTAATTTTGTGTTTCGAGATAATTAAAACGAAAAGAAAAAGTTAGGCGTCACTTCTTTCTAACAAATGTTTTACAGCTGATGACAGAAAATGAATTATCAGTGTTCGTGCAACATATGATAGTTTGAATTCTCGATTTCGATGATATAAATTTGACTTTATTCTACTATAATCGTGAATGTTGAGAATTTTGTGAAAACTTCAAAATCGTTATTTCAAAATCAAGCTTCGCATCGCATTTCGCAGACGAGTCTTGATTCGTCTGCTATCTAGTCTAAGTTGTAGTTTATTTTATAAGAGCAAATGAAAAATTCTATTCATATAAATGACTGGAGTCGTACAGTCGAGTCAGCGTTATCGAACTTCTGAGTCCGAGTCCGAGCCATTAAGAAAATATGTCGCAAAGTATGAAATATGTGACTAATTTTAACTAGTTTTGCGTACCATTCATACTATTTTTATTTACAAAAAAAAACAAGTCAATTTTCACGATATATAATTTCTTATAATTTCCAATGTACACTTATTTTGTTGCCACTACGCTGGATGGTATAATTATCAATAACTATATCGAAAACGATTGCTTTTTCTAAAGTTCTAACCATGTTTTCATCTGCCATAGGAATAATGAAGCATAGATAGTACAGATTAGGAATACGTGTTCTTCGTTCCATAATAAACTTCATAAGTGATGGAACATTTGTACCTGACATACAGCCTATTTCAAAATATTCTATATGTGGACAAAGATTGATAAAAAATTGAATTTCTTGTTCATCTTTTTCTGTAACTTGACCAAGTTTGACTTTTGTTATTTTGTCAATAGCTGATATTGATAGACCATTTCTGGTATCTTCAGTAGATAAAGATTCCAACGAAAATATCGGTAAATATGACAGCTTTAATGATTCAATATTTGGCAATGAAGGTAGAATATCGGATAATATGTGAAGACACATATTATCATTTTCTATATTTAAATGAGTAAATTGAATCACTTCAAGAGCAGGTTTGAATTTCTTAATAAATCGACAACTACGTTCGTTAAATTTATTATCTCCGATAGTCAATTGTATAATATGATGGTCAGTTTTTTCTCGATTAGAAATATAATTATTTTCTATCGAATTTTGTTTCAAATATGTGTCATTATTCATATTTTCATGAAGACTGATCCATTCTTTTCTAATAAAGAGAAAATAAAAATATATACGGAATCATTTTATGAATGATTTTTTCTGAATCTACCTGTATGAATGAATTGAAAACTCGATTTTGACATCATGGATTTTTAGTTCACGAAACAATTTTCGTTCGATCCAAAATGGTGAATTAAATCGCTTAATGAACCCATCAATTGAATCAAGTAAATTTGTCATGTCATTATCATAAATAAGCTGAATATACTTAAAGTAGAATTTTTCCAATTCAGGCATATATTTTTTAATTAATTGTTCCCAACGATTACTGTCAAGATAAGCTTTCTTCCAATATATAGTAATATTCAATATTTGTAATTGGGAAGATATTTCCTTAATAAATACTTCAAATTCATCAAACGAATTATCAAATTGCTTAAAACAAATGGATTTTAAATGCGGTAATTTCATTGACAGATCTTTTTTGAATTTTTTATCTGAATCAATCGCTTCATTACAAGATAAATGACGAAGTTGTGGTGTGTAATGAAGTAGAGAATTTAGTTGATTGAGAGTACAAAAATGCCCAATAACCAGATATTCGATTGTACTAAATGTTTTATTGATTACATGTGAAATATTAATTTGTATTTCAACACCAGGTACATATAGTTGGTTATATTTTAATGTAGGTAAAGAAAAAATTAATGGATAAATATTTCCAAGATCAGCATAATGCTTATCGTTTATATAAATGGTTAATGTAAAGAGGCGAGGTAAAGACTTTAAATAAGAAAGAGTCGTGAGTAGTTTCTTTGTTTTGATTCCTTTCAGAATAACTGATTCAAGACGATGAAATGATGAATCAATAATACAATGATTAAAGAACGTATCAATCAATAATTGTTCAATCGAATAATCAGCCAAATGAAGGGAAAGAATACGATGTGAATTTGGAATAATAACATGTTGACAACGATATTCGAGTTCTGATTCTGCTTCAAGTTCTGATTCTGGTTCTGATTCTGGTTCTGATTCTGATTCTGATTCAAGTTCAGGTTCTGATTGTGATTTAAGTTCTAATTCAAGTTTTATTCGAAGTAAAATTGACGAAGAAATGATAAGGTTTTGTAAACGAATATTAAGATTTGAAAATGATTTGTGTATATCATAAGCATCAAGATATTCGAATATTTCGTACAAAAGCTCATT